TCCTTTATGAAGGCATAGAGCCTTTACTACATGAAAATGAAAATTAATGAATACACTGTGTACAGTAATTTACCTGATAAGACAGACCTCAGAAAAATACTTTATGAGGCATAAAGCTGTCTTTATCATGAAAATTAATTAAGGATTTTTTTTGCCCTGCCAGGGTGTGGCCGAGTTATCCGGAGTGCCGGGTTATCGCGTGCCGAATTTTCGAGGCTCTACTGTATTTGTTTGAATACTTGTAGATGATAGTAGAGTCCTAATTATTTAAGGTAAGGAGGACCAAGAGTATCTTGTATAATTAAAAAAAATTGGACTACATGAAACATTTGCTAATAAATGATTTGACTTCTCACAAACATTTAAATTTTGCCATTATAATAAATTCTTTTTAAAGCTCCTGGAGCCCCTTTAGGATACCATGCGTCCCTTGTCTAAGACTCACGAAATAAATTGTAGTATGCTTGTCTTTGTTGAAATTTTCACCTCAAAAATGCAGATTCTAGATTTAGTTGATGTAACTATTGATGCAGATAACTGTAGCTATGGTATCAGAAATATTATATATTACCATTTTATCATTAATTTATTAAATTAGAAAAAATAGACAATCAAAATTTAAAATCTATAACAATAAATTTATTATTTTAATAATAAAAGCATGTGTGTTGCAGAAAAGAAAAATGTTTTAAAATTTTACTTTGATCGATTAAATTAATACAATAGCTAATCTGGAGTTTAAAATATATATAAAAAATTCTTAGTTGCTGTAGACCTTACAGATTATATAGTTTTCTTCCATAAACAATTTTAGTATTATGTAAGTTGTTATGGATTAAATAGTTCAATAAGGAAATTTATAATTTTCACCAAATACAAAACTACCTGAATGAAATGGAAATATCATAAAATTTTTATTACAATTCACCATATTAGTTATAACTTAAAAACTGGCATATCTTGGAGTCAAGACTTGGAATGCAGACAATTCTCATTTGAAAAAATATAGTAAGATTTATAATGAAAAAATTCGGCAACTATAAGTTCTTAAAAATAAAACTTTTATGCATTCATTTTCACAAAAATTAATCTAAGTTTTTTTTAATTTCACAGTTGCAGTTATGGGATACAGGTGGCATGGAACGAGTTGCATCCATCACTAGTAGTTATTATAAATTTGCAGAAGCTGCAATTCTAGTATTCAGCTTTGATAATCCTGATTCATTCAATATTCTCTCTCAGCATCTTTTGGATATCGTTAGCTATGCCGAAAATGCAAAAATTTTTTTATGTGGAAATAAAATAGATTTGGTACATCATATGGATATAACTGATTCAGATATAGAAGCTTTTTGTGAACAGTGTCATAATTTGATCAGTGGTGTGTATAAGACGTCGTGCAAGACGGGTGCTGGAATAGAAGAAATGTTCACAGATATTGCTCGTCAGTTGGTGCTCACTTGTCGTGTAAAAGATATGGAAGATGTAGCTAAAGATTCTTTCAAGGTCACCGCTCAAGACGAACCCCAAGAATCTTGTTCATGCTAGTCATTTTATTCAAAATATAAGAAATCATAGCTTTAGTAAATTTGTTTATTACAAAGAATTTTTTAAATTATGTACAGATTTTTAAGATTTCTGTACATACTGTAAAGTACTATGTTTTGTATATTGCTGCAGATCTCTAATTATCCATGATTTACATTTTGAAAATTAAAAACAAAAAAACTTGTAGTGCTATTGAAGTAGTAATAATTGTTTTGCTGTTAATTTCTGCTTAATAATGTTTGAGTAAACAAGACTTATCTAGAGAATAAGTTAGAAAATATACAAAACATGATACTGATATTGGAAATCAAACAGAAAATTATTTGAATTAATTGCAATTTTTGCAAAATGTTCCTAATTTGACTGATTAATTTATCATAGATAATCTGTTAATTATAATTTCAAGCTGCAGTTTGAAATGATTTCAATATATTTAATTAAATGTTAAATATCCAAGATTTAAGAAAGTAAATTAGTATTAAAAAAGATTAATGATATTTTACATTAATCTTGATATCTGAATAAACTCATTTCCATATAGATAGATATCAATATATAGAAATTGCCGAAATATTTTTTTAAAGTAAAGACGAAAAATGAAATTAGCATATATTTGATTTTACTACAATCACAACATTGTTCTACTTAGGTAAGGGTGCATTGAGCTTGAATTTTACTAGAAATTATTATTTTTAATGTTTTTATGTGAAGTACAGTATTGTAAAGTATAAACTAAATGTAAAAAAATTTCTTCCATTAATGTATTTTTCTCTAAATGTTAAAGTGATGTATGAGATTAAAATTTATTAATACATTTGCATTTATAACCATGAAGAAAATGTCTTTTCATTTTTTAATATCAATGTGTACAAATTATTTAAATGACATGAAGATTGGTGAAAGCAAATGTAATTTACTTAAATAATTTTTTTTACTAGAATTAAACCTATTTAGAATTATTTAATAATAATTGTTTTTAACTATCTGGAGGCTTTTTATGACTATCAAGATATTCTCTAACTTTTCTCCATATTTCTCCTGGTTCATCCACACGAGGTATCTAATTAAAAATAGATTTAGAAAGTCAGGTTTTTACACAAAATAACAATTATTATTTAAAAGATTTATTTTTAAATTTACTTGATCATGTATAAAAATAAACACCATACAAGAAACTTGGAGAAAAAATACCAAAATTAGTACAAATGACACTTACAGAACATCTCAATGTAATTCTTAGAACTTGAAGGATAAAATATATATAGTTGGCCAAGGAGAGGATAAAAATCCCAAAATGCAAGTAATATCCAATAGTGTCACAATATGTGTTTGTGTCTAGTATCTGTTTTATAGATGATCAAGTATATTTAAAATGTTAAACATTTTTACCTCATAATTTTGGCATGCATATATTCCTGCATAAAGACCAATTCCAAATGAAATCTGTAAAAAGAAAATGTTGTTATCTTATTTACTATGAAAAATTATAATTGATTTCATTATACGTTTCATTCTTCAAATTACATAATTATTCATTGGTTTAATATAACAGAAGTCTTCATGATTCATCTATTCGACATAATTCATCAGACTTCTCTTAAAATTTTAAATAGAATTTTTAAATATCATGTACTCATCTTACATAATATATTTGCAAATGCATCCATTATCATAAATAAGAATATTAAATTTATCGTAATTATAGAATATTTTTATGTCTATCAAATATTCACATGCAACTACCATGATAGGAACAAATTTTTAAAAGAATTCACATCTAAGTGAAGCAAAATTAGAATCACAATATTTACATTCTCAAATAGTATTTTAATTATTTTTTCAATATCATTTTAAGTTAAAGAAAGCAAACTTTGAATACTGTATTTACTTCAATAATTTATGCTAGTAAGTAGAACCCCAATCAACAGAGGTTCCATATTATTCAAAGCATTTAAGTGACTACTACTGTATAATTCATAAAATAAAGTATTAAAAAAATTATTTTTTAATATGCAATATATTGTTTTTGTTACCTTTTATTGTTTAATTTCAATATGAGACAAACCATTTATATTAANAAAGTATTGTCTAACGAGTAGACATTTTAATATTTAAACAGTTTATATTAGTTTACTCGAAATTTATTAGTGAAAACATGTGTTAGATTATAAAGAACTTATTCATTTGTAGAAGCAAATACGTGTTCAACAATAAACCTTTATTCAATAAGGAAACACGGGTATCGAATTTCCGACTAAAATAACTTACTTGTTAGTGTAAAATAACTCCCTTTCTTACACGAGTTACTACTATATTTTTAGCTCCATCTAGTTTATTTAATATTAACTATTTATTATCGTATATATTATTAATTTTATGTATTTATTTTGAAATTTTGCCACGAAGTCAGCATTAGGAAAAGTACTATGTGTGTAAGGCCGGATAGATAGACACTTTGTTATTCTAAGCTGCAACACCTAATAGGCCCTTCCCTTCTACCAAATAATAATAAATACAAATCGTAGGGCCTAAAGCTAACTTGTAGATTCGTCTAGACGGCAAGTATAAACGAGCCAACGACAGTTCGTTTTATATTACCATTCAAAATACCCTCCTGTACTTCGTAGTCATAAGCTGTAGCTTGAATTAACTTACGCGTAAATCAAGCCCCGTATTTAAAGAATATTAAAATTACAATTAATTTAGTTTAATCTTATTAATTAAATAAATAGAAGGACCATTCCAAAATTACATAATGTCGTCAGAATTCAGGAGTGGTAAAAAAAATGATAAATTTAACCCACTTGATTGCGATTTATGAACCTTTAAGCTAATGGTATGGTCCTTGTATTCTTTAATTAAATGTCTTAATTGAAGGAACCACGAAATTCGATTTTAAAACGGGTAAAATTTAAATTAGGGCATCGGTTCCGCCCGAAGAAATTCGCCTTTGATTTATTCAGAAAAATTCGAAACCGGAAGAGGAAATTGCGTTTTTAAAAAACTATCAATTGCCTAGCGTATTCCCAAGAATGGCCCACATCTGTATCTAAAATTAACGAATAACCTTGAGCATATGCAACGTGAAGTAAGTCGAGTGTTGATTTTATCTGATTTTATAATTATTCAAGCTTATTATATATTTTTTACTCTGTTTTATTTACTCTTTTATACGTTTAATTCCACTTCTGTTTCCTTATAATTAATTTTTACACTATATTTTAGTAAGAAAATAATGTTTATTGTTGCTTTTATTGTGATGTCAAACTTTAGTCTCTCTCTCTCTTTTTTTTTTTTTCTTTTGTATAAAATTTAATTTATAATTAATTTTAGATCAAAATCTTAACGAAATATGTTCATAATTTCTCAGAATAATCAATCAAAAAATAATTAATTTCCTAGAAAATTATTAAATTTTCATACACAGAACACAATACAGGAGCATGGCACGTGCTTACTTCAGCTCCTGTCTACGAAAACAGGGAGGAAAAAAACTGTTAAAAATAAATGATATAAAGTAAAACCTGTTTAAAACGGAAACCTGCCTAAACTGGAAGAATTATTCAAAATGGAGCGATTTTCTACGTTAAAAAAAGAGGAGGAGAGAACCTGCCAAACAGGAAAAATATTCGGTAGTGTGCGAGTAGTCCGGTTTACACAGGTTTTACTGTATAAATATTAAAATTTAAAACTGTAAAATAAAAATAAAACCTTTAATTTTCTCTAAAGTTTAATTATTTATCTCGAAAATTCGGGTGTAATTCTTTTACTTCGAAGTTACTGTAGATTACAATTAATATTTTATTGCAGTAAAACCTGCGTAAAACGGACTCGCACCGTACCGAATATTTTTTTTTGTGTGTGTGTCTCGAACGGGTTGTTTTTTTTAATACAGAAAATGGCCGTTTTCGGTAGAATCCTTCCCGCTTAGGCAGGTTTCCGTTTCGAACAGGTTTTCTTGTATAAACTTTTGCCGAGATGAGCATTTCGATATTTAAATTAATCGAAATTAAATACATTCTACAAAATTATTAAAAAATAAAACGGAAATCTCCCGAAAGAATATCTTTCTTCACGGTTGACAAAGTACTATTAAACCACTGTTCTGAAGCTGTTACTAGACAGGTAACGTCACACTAGTGAAGGTAATGGTGCGAATCCAGTAGGTTGCTAGTACTTTTGCCATTTAATTAAGCTGATATATTGTTACATATTGCATTTACTCCCGTGAGAGCTTTCGTTAGCTAATAAATGATTATATATATATATAATGTAATCAATACAATATTAGCGAAAGAAAAAGCACCAAAAAATAAAGAAATAAATAAAGAAATTTCATCGATAGGCAGAGTGCAGACAAACGAACGTTTTTGTCAATGATGATGAATGTGCGCCTTGAATAACTTGATCATTTTTGATAATGCCGTATGCAGTCTCTCGGAAAATGCATTTGCAAGGATCGAAATTACTTTTCTTTTCTATAAATAAAAGATATCTGTCGTAACTCTAATGTAAAATCGATCAGCCAACAGTTGGCTATATTTGCATAAAATATAAACACATTCAATATAAAGAAAATAAATCTATAAATTTGATTTGTATAGAATTTATTATGGTTTATATGTTATAAATACTTAATTTGGAGGGTAAAGCTTCGTTTTTTTTTTGAAGGTAGAGACGAGTTTTATAAATTGTAATTGTTAATAACTAGTAAAATCTTCGTTAAGTCCGACCCTATTCGAGATATATGTGACCTCCTATATCTCCCCACCCTCTCGACCTATAACTACCAAAATTTAACAGCATCAACCCCCCTAATATACAAATTTATCTGCAAAATTTTATAAATTTTCGACAAAAAACACGGAAGTTATTAAGTTTTAAATTGGGTGTTCCTCACACACCCATACATACAGAACCCCACCCCAACAGTGGCGAGTTATTCGATGGACAGAAAGGGAAATTGCCCGAGACCCCATCGATAGGGAGCCCCAACTTTTATAAACACGTTCTCCATCTCAAATTAGTAGTGGATTCCCCCTGTAAATCATACTTTTCCTGTTAGCAATGGAATAGTGCGGGTCATCTTTCAATTTTTGAATTGAAATAACGTAATTTTCCCTTTGTATCGGAAGTTTTTATATAGTTACTCGGGGCCTCCTACTCGTAATCTTTTCAAATATTTTCTCAATTTTTATATATCTAGCTCTATTCTCGAGATTACGGAAAGACAGACAGACAAACTACAAATTTTTACAAACAAGAAAATAAAAGAAAAATCCTTTAACTTTATAAACCGAGATTTAGAGAAATTCAAGTCTAAAATATCAGTTTTATTTTTTTTATTTAAATTATTTATAGCATAAACAATAGAATATCGAGTATATAAACTGCAGATAAAAAAAAAATATATATATATATATAGGCCTATATATATGAACTGAATAGAAAGAGACAAATCTTGTATCAATTTTAAACAAGAGGGATTTTCTATAAAGCATATTCCGTAAAGATATAGAAATAAATGGGTTAAAAAAAAATAAAAATAATATATAATGGCTAAAAGGGATTTATGAAGGAAAAAATAAATAAATAAATAAATATGCCAACAACAAGTCTTTAGAATGGAAAAAACATGGATTTAGAAACTAAACACTTCGAATAGGAATTTGGTTGAATGTAAGAGAGATTCGTGTAAATACTGTACAGTAAAACCTGCATAAAACGGACTTACGCGGTACTGAATATGTTTTTTGTTGTCGTTATTTTTAGACAGGTTTTTTTTTAAACACAGAAAATCACAGCATTCTTCCCGTTTATGCAGGTT